TAACATTATATGATGTACATACCTGAACTTTTTGAAGAACTGACCATTTTTCCAGAATTTTGAAAAAAAAAAATGCTTTTAATAAAATTCCAAAAAAAATCTTTATCTAGGTTGAAAGTTCCAGTATGAGTTCAACAAATAAAATGAATGTTAACTGAGGGAAAGCAAATGATTTTTTGTCATTATTAAAAATTCAGGTCCTGCTCGGTGATAATAGTTTGGTTTTTGAGACATTAAATTTTTATTTACCTTTTTTGATGTTTCAGCCTGTTAAAGTTTGGTTTCTTCAGAGATTAGCTGCCAAGTTCACTGAATTTGGGAGGCACAGTGGCTATTTTAATGCTTTTTTGTGCAAGATTTGAAAAGGATTTGAAAAAGTGAAATAATTCATCACACACAAGAATATGAACTGAAAAAGAAGAGAGTTTAGCTCCTGTTTAATATGGCAACAGCAAACTCAATTTAACCTGATCTGGCATGGCATAAAGGAATAGGATAAATCAGGAGTCAATGGACGAAAATGGAAGGGTTCAATACAAAATTCCAAAGGATGTTTGAAACTGAAATTCATCCAGAAAAGGTGTTCAAATGGAACTGGGGCCTACCCTGATGAGAAATTAAATCAAGAATAGGTTTGAAAATTCAACGATAAGTGACCTGATGGAATGTCACTAGTTTGGTTTTTGGGTGAAATGAGACTTGCCATGTTCAATAAAAATCCCTGAACTGTTAAAGCAATATCAAAGGATCAAAATTCATTTTCCAAATGGTTTAAACATCTTGAGTTTTGAAGAAACACCCATATACTGTTGTATTATCAACAGTTGATATTCAAAAAAAAAATTTTAAAATAAGAAATGAAATAAAATTTCAACTGGCATGAAATAAATAAACTGTCTGAAATGAATGACACAATGTTTTGAAAGAATTTGCAAAAATATGCCATGTACTTCTATAAAAATGAATTGCTGCCTATAATATATTTCTATTTTATGCTACTCTTAATTCATCTATAATCATGTACAGTTTTTCTCTACATTTACATTTTTTTTCATTTGTAATCATAATTTGGGAAAACAGAATTGGCCAGTGAAATTGTTTAATTTTACCAGCCATTGCACTATTATATAATGTTATGTCAGTTGTCAGTTCCTTTTGCACTTTATTTATTTAAGACTAGCAGCATGGCCCAGCATTGCCCATGCTTGATTCAAAAATCATACGACTCATACAGCAATCGCTATCACTTGACTTAAAATATTTTTGCCCTTCCTTGCCTTTAAAGGAGTGCCCTTTGCCATGCTGATGATGCTACATGCCTTACTTCTTGCCTATCTCACACTGCGATTTTTTTCTAAGCTCTATACTAAACATTAAATCTGTTATGAAAAAAGAACTAAACAAAATGAACACAAAACAATCAGCTTTAAAAAAGGACTCGTAACTAGAAAAACCGAATGAAAAAAGAATGTTAACAACAAATACTTTTTCACACCGAAACCAGTTCTGCGGAATCAGAATCAACGTTTAAGCAAGCGAATGAGCCAATTGGAGTAAAGTGCCATGCAGATTTAAATTTTTCCCACTTGTGATGAATGCAACTATCGATTTTTTTCTTACTTGCTAGCATGCTAGTTAACATTCGTATCAGACTCTGTTGGCTCTCACGCTGGCCAATAGAATCTACCTGCCTATTCGTGGCAGCTGGCTATAGGCTCTCACTCTGGCCAGTAGAAAATGGCTGCAAACTACATGAAAACTGCTGTAGAAGCGTGGAAAAATCAATTATTTCCACTATCAATAGGAGTTTGGAAATGCAAAGTTGGTCTTGGCCTTCCCACTAACTTGGAGCATGTGTATGTAAATTTTGGTGCAGATCCGTAAAAAATTGCGGCCGTGCAATCGTTACACACAAACACACACACACACACATCCTGCCTTTTATAGATAGAGATTTGAACTGTCACAAGTCAGAGCCTGTGGTTTGAATATTGTGTGAATGCTGGAAGGTTTGAAAATGCTATCAGTATGGATATGTTTACAGCATTGAGTTTTATTGCAGGTGATGTTCCCTTGGTGAGGTCATGACTTATGTATGTCAGATGATGTTAGGAGTGTGTGTAGGTTGTGGGTTCTCACAGATAACAATGTTGTTCTAAGGTACGCTATATTTATAGGTAAAAGTGCTCAATATCAAGAATATAGTGTCTGTAAATATAAAAGTTGATGTTATAGTCATCACCGATTGGTGACAGTCTGAGTCATAAATGAATGCAATGTTCAGTTCACCCCAAGAGTGTGTTCATGCATGAAACAGACTGTTGCCTCAGTGTCCAATTATATATATATATATATATATATTAAAGACATTTTTTTTTTATGTTTAACGTTGTTATTTTATAACATTTACCAGCCTGAATGTCAAAGAACGAATATTTTCTATGAAAATTTCTCGGACATTCAGGCCGGTAAATGTTATTTAATACTGTTTATCATAAACAGAGCATTTGCTTAAATACTGGTATCTATAAAATAACAACGTTAAACATAAAAAAAAAAAAATGTCTTTAATAAATAAATTGTCGGACCTTGTCCATTTCTTAATATATATATATATATGCAGAAGAATTACTTATCTGTAATTTTCCCCAACTCTAAAGTTTCATGGTAATATGATCAAGGTGTTAATCCATATATTAATTATTTTCAATTGTAATAAATGCAAAAAAGAAATTATGTTGAAGAAACAGGCACAGTAAAAAAAAATACATCAATGACAATATCAACAATTTACCTGTTGCTACATATTTCAACCAACTGTTCTATAGCATTGATGACATCAGATGGCTGCTGACATTATCAAAATAGAATCACATATTAAAGGATTAAACAGGGATTTGGTTTTACTCAGCAAATATAGTTTCCACAGGGAGCCATCTAACCAACAGCAACAACATTCATCAGATGAGTGAGTCCTACTTCTTTGTTTATTTCTTGTCTCATTGAAAAAGGACACAGGCATGTTTGAAATTTCTGACTTTAAAATTTTCCTCTTCATGCTTCAATTTAGTCAAAAGACCTATAAATACATAATATATATCATAAATATATATAATAAATATTATCAATCTTATTGCCAATATTATTATCATTTTGTTGTCTTTTTATTCCTCAAATTTCATTAACAGGTCTATTAAATCTACATACATACATACATACATATATCTGAATGTAATGAGAATGAAAATAATGCATAAATTCTAACGTTCACAGCATCAATTCAAAAGAGGGCTCAATATTGATTGTAGAGCAATAATTATTTATTATAATTTTTCATATAGACAAAAACAATTTACTCATGATGAAGAGCAACTTCATTTCAGTGCATTTAGTTGCACCTCAACTGTCACCAGACTTCAAATACTTCCTCCAATTGAGTGGATCACACATGCCTGTGAGTGTCATGCTTAGAAATTCATCTATGCATTTGATGTAAGCAGTATAGTGTGTTGAGTTGAATTGGAATTTGTTTTCATCATGTGATTTTCTTTGTCTTATGGTAACAAGTAAAAAGTGTTGCTGTTCACACAAAGCTTGTTTCCCTATTGATTCTTGTCAATCTTTTCTTGCTTGACATTCGTACTTGGTCACATGATTCTGCATGTGTGAGAATATATTTTTAGCTTTCATTTGGATCTGTTGCTGGGGTCAGCCTGTTTGACCTAATTGTTTTTGTAGTCAGAAACTATTATTACAGATTGAAAGAGAGAGGGGAAACTAATGTATTATATTATTAGAGAAGTTGAAAGATGTTTTGCTAAGTGTAAAACATGTGTGGTTTATAGGTTTTGGTTATGTAAGGGCATAACAACTGTTAAAAAAAGAAAAAGGAAAAAGTGTAAAAGCTAAAGAGCAAGTGTAAAGTTAAAAAAAAAACAAACAAAAAGAACTAGTGATCACAGCATCCTACACGTACACACATCTGCACAGACTGGCACACATGTATCTGCAGAGACAGGCACATGGCTGCATGCAAACAAATGCACACATGAACACAAAATATATATACAAAAAACTTACACCAATGTTAAATGTATAAAAAGAAAAAAAAATTGAAAAAATGTAAACAAAAAATTGCTGATATCCAATGAAGAGTGGACGGACAAGTTCACATATGAAACTCTGGAGTCAGAATGCTGATGGTAACAGCAGTCAGCTAAATGACAAACTTTTACTCATATTAACCCTATATATATATATATATATATATATATATATATATATGTGTGTGTGTGTGTGTGCAAATATATAGAAAAATAGGAAAGAACATGTTAGATAAATAATCCAAAGTTCTTTGGTATTATTGTTTTTATTTTAAAAAAAACAGTGCTCAATACATACATAGAGCCTAAATTATAATTATTATTTTATATATATATATAAAATATATTTAAAGATAACATACGTTAAGTTAAGCGATGTCTGACCCACACCAAGTGAGCTTAAGGATAAAGAATTGAAATGGTACATCTAACTCACTCATGTCTTCTCTCCCACCTCACTTCGTTAATTTACATATGCTTAATACAGCCTGTCAAAAATGTGTAAATTTCTTTTCATTTTTCATTTCAACCTTTGGAAGTAAAGTCTGATGATCCAGAGCCCTTTAAGAGGGCTGTGGTGAAATAATTTATTACATGGAACCTTAAAGTGGTCTGTTTTTATTCAAATTTATTTGCTCTGAATTTACATTGAGCTCTCTGGATATCATCCTCCTTGGGTCTACCCATACGGATTACCTAGTTTTGCATAAACTATATATATATATATATATATATATATTTTCAGAGTTTTGAGCAGACCTAGGCACAAACTTTGATCTTTCTATAATGTTTGTAATATGCACTTAAACATAGGTCAGTTTGAGATGATCAGGGTGAGATTCATGGAACATCCCATGGGAAATAAGCTTACTAACAATGGTTTGTGAGATCTACATATTAAATATCACTCAGCATCAGGTGATTATGTGTCTGTATGATTTGTGGCGCCTGAGATAATGAGGTTGAAACTGTGTGGCCATGAATTTCTGTGATATATTCAATCTTTTGTTGGAAATGAAAGTGAATGAATGGATGATGATATTGATCTGAGTGTGGGACTTGGTGGTTTGCTTCAGCCACAAGAATGACACCTACAATGAAAATGAAGTGATAGAAAATGGGAAGTCGAGGAGGGATAAATACAAAGAGAGAGACAGACAGAAGAAGAGAAAGAATGTGTAATGAAATGATTGAGGTGAGAGAAAGAAGGGAAAGGTAGACAGAAATAAAGAAGGAAGGAGAGGAGAGAAAAAAGACAAAGAAACGGTAATAAAGAAAAGGAAAGGAAAAATAAGAAAAAGAGAGGCAGAGTTTTAGTTGAAGGAAGAATGAATATAAATGAAAAAGAAAGAGTTTCAGCCTAAAGAAGAAAGAAAAGAAATAGAAGGAAAGAGAAGGACAGACGAGAAAAAGAAAGGAAGAAGTTTTAGTCTAAAGAAAGAATATAAATGGAAGAGGAAGAAAAGAGACTGAGACAATACAGTAAAAAGAAAAAGAAGGTAAGGCAGAGAGAAATTAAAAAGAATATAGATAAAGAGAGAGAAAATGTGAAAAAAAGGGAAGAAAAGAAAGAAATAAAAGAAGTGAAGAAAGCGAATAGGACAAAATAGTAAAAATAAAATATGAAATAAAAAGAAATGGCAACTGAGAAAAGCAAGAACACAACTGATTAAGAAAAGCGTTGGACATTAAAACTGAGGTGTTAATCCCAGAGAAAGAGAGAATCACAAAAACACGGCAGCAATTAATTAAGCTTCTAGGAACAGACATATTGGTTGAGGGCCTGACGTAAATAAGAGAGAGGGATAGACGAAGAAAAAGTGACACGTTGGTTGAGAGGCTGACGTAAATAAGAGAGAGGGATAGACGAAGAAAAAGTGACACGTTGGTTGAGAGGCTGACGTAAATAAGAGAGAGGGATAGACGAAGAAAAAGTGACACGTTGGTTGAGAGGCTGACCTAAATAAGAGAAATAGATAGACGAAGAAAAAGTTTTTTTGGTTGAGAGGCTGACGTAAATAAGAGAGAGGGATAGACGAAGAAAAAGTGACACGTTGGTTGAGAGGCTGACGTAAATAAGAGAGAGGGATAGACGAAGAAAAAGTGAGATAGTTGGAAGATGATAGAAGGTTGTGAAAGGAGAAAACTAAAGGAAGGAAGGAAGGAAATAAAGTATGGTAGAAATGAGTGGTAAAAAATTATTTCTGGGAGAATAAAAAAAAAAATTAAAAAAAAGAAGTGATCCATGAGATTGGAGGAAATGGTTTTCTGGCCCAAGAAAAAAAAGAAAACAAAAGAAAGAAAGAAAAAAAATGAAATTCTGAGTGAATGTGTGTGTGTGTGTGTGTGTGTGTGTGTGAGAGAGAGAGAGAGAGATAGTCTTTAATTAATATAAGAGTGAGAGGGGAAAAAGTGAATCTGACTTGACTGATAAGGGAAGCTGGAAATGTATTTTGAGAGTGTGTGAGAGAAAGAGAATTTCATTAATAAGAAAGAATGAGCATCTAACCAATGAGGGAGAAAAAAATAACATATGTCCAATAAGAGAAAGTGAAAGTGTATCTGACCAGGGAGGAGATAAACATCTCTCTAGTGAGAGAGGTGAGAGAATGTATCAGGCAAGAGAGAGAAAAGGAAAAAAGAAATCGACCACTGATCAAAGAGAAAGAGAAGGTAAATGATTGGTGAGTAAGAGAGAGAGAGAGAGAAGGGTGTTGATTGAATGGTTAAATTTCTAAGAGAGAGGATAGGAAAAAAAAACAAAAAAAAACAATAATTTAGCCTCAAAGTTATCACAGTGTATAAAACAAATTTTAAAAATATCATGAAAGTTATTTCTTCAAGGGAAGAAGCTAAAAAAAAGACCAAGGAAATGAAAGTTTTAGGTCCGAGAAGTCCGTGGAATGGGGAAGCAAAAACTCAAGGAAAAGAAGGTGATGGAGAAGGTTCCAAAGGAACGAATCAAATATTTGTGGTTTGTTGAGATTGGACAATTGCAAACACTTGTGGTTGTCATGTCTTGTCAGATGTAATGAATTCACCACATAACCCTGAGGGAATGCTCGACTGTATACAGGCTCTGAAATTTTCTGGAGGAGGCAGATGGCAAGGAGATTCCCAAATTAAACAATAACAATATCTTCTTTTTTTTTTTTTATTTATTTAGTACTTTTTAAAAACATTTTCTCATTGTCTCCTCGTCAATTTCCTGTGTTGGTTTACATGCACAATTACTCACTCCCAACTTGAATGGTTGTAAAGTTAAGAAAAAAAAAAAAGAAAAGAGGTCCAAATCCGGAAAATGGTGACTTGGAAAAAGAAAGAGAACCAAGCTAAAATTAAATCTACATTTCTTTATTTCAGATGGCCATGTCCATTCGATAGAGGTGATCATGTCATTCTACAGAATCCAATCCATTCTTTTTTATTTTTAACCCTGCGTTAGTCACCTTGGATTTCCAAAAATGGATAGTCTCATGGGATCTTTACACATCCCAAACCAAAAATGCTTATAGTGTTACAATTATGTAAAATATTGCCATAAAAAAATAACAAAACAGACAATCTCCATTAGAATATACATTACATCAAAACTTGAACTGAAGATATAATTATTCATTCAAATGAAAATTATAATCAATTTGTTGCATAAACATATATTGTCAATTTGAAGTGAAACACACCAATACTATAACAGAGAAAAGTTTTATTCATCAAAAATAGCCACAATATAATTCTGTGAATAGAAGGATATTACACTAGCTAAACTCATAATTACAAGACTCAAAGAATAATCTCTATCTATAAAAGGCAGGATGCGTGCGTGTGTGTGTGTGTGTGTGTGTGTAACGAATGCATGGCCACAATTTTTGACAGATTTGCACCAAAATCTACATGCACATACTCCAAGTTAGTGGGAAAGCCAAGACTGACTTTGCATTTCCCAACTCCCATCAATAGTAGAAATAATCGATTTTTTCATGCTTCTACGGCAGTTTTTATATAGTTTGCGGCCATTTTCAACTGGCTAGAGTGAGAGCCTATAGCTGGCTGCCACGAATAGGCAGGAAGATTCTATTGGCCAGCTTGAGAGCCAACAGCTGACTGACATGAATGTTAACTAGCATGCTAGCATGCAAAAAAAATTGATAGTTGCATTCGTCACAAGTGGGAAAAATTTAAATCTGCATGGCACTTTACTCCAATTGGCTCATTCGCTTGCTTAAACTCAACGTTGATTCTGATTCTGCAGAACTGGGTTGGGTGTGAAAAACTATTTGTTGTTAACATTCTTTTTTCATTCGGTTTTTCCAGTTATCAGTCCTTTTTTAAAGCTGATCGTTTTGTGTTCATTTTGTTTAGTTCTTTTTTCGTAACAGATTTAATATTTAGTATAGAGCTTAGAAAAAATTTGCAGCGTGAGATAGGCAAGAAGTAAGGCATGTAGCAACATCAGCACATCAAAGGGCACTCCTTTAAAGGCAAGGAAGGGCAAAAATATTTTAAGTCAAGTGATAGTGATTGCTGTATGAGTCGTACAATTTTTGAATCAAGCACGGGCAACGCCAGGCCATGCTGCTAGTTTTACATATATATATATATGACAAAATGGAAAAAAGTGTTCATATTGACCCATTTAATCTTTTAGGACTTCATTGGACTAAATTTGTTACATTGGTACAACTACACACAAATGAAGGATGCTGGGAATTTTAAATTAAAATTTTCCTTTTTTGATTATAACCTCGCCAGTTACATTTAGATTCTTTTTCTTTTTGTTTCCACCACTTTTGCTATTAAATATCCCACATTGTTATATCGGAAGACCTGCCAGGGAGGGTGAAATGCTGTAAGAGCCAGGGCTCAAATTTGTTGTGGATGACCTTGCGATCAAGCAACTCTCAACATTTTTGCCATAGCAAATTGATTTCTCCTTTGATTAGAGTTGCATTTTTTCAGTCAAAGTAACACATTATATGTTGAGTTTAGATAAGTTCTTTTCAATTGTAGTCATGATAGAGTTAGTTGGTAGGACAATATATTATTTGATTCATTGGGTTTGTCAGGAGGTGCCATTTTTCTATTTTGGAATTTTTATGAGCCTTTTGCACAGCTACACACTATTTTGAATTCAGTGTTTTCCTTCTCCTATCTTGGTTACTAACCACAGCTAGCAAACCTTGTCTCATCCTCATAACTGGTGAGAGAAGACATTGATTCATATATTTCGCAAGGGTATTTGTTCAACAGTGGATGTAACAAACTCAACCGGAATTCAAACTTTGCTCACAAATTTTCTCTTCTAAGTCACTATTACACTACCTGCTGATACTCTTCTTTTATAAGTTAAAAATTTTCCACCAACATGACTATTTAAGTATTTGGTACAAAAGAGTACTATGATCTGTAGTTTTAGACAGCTAGAAGTTTAAACATCTCGGAAGAGGTGCATTGGGATAACAAATGATGCTTTCCAAAAGCTAAATAAAGTATTAAGAAACAGGAGAATTTCATTAGGAACAAAGAAAAGACTTCCGGCAGCAAGACCTCTGACTGGGAGGCTTTGAGGAGCATGGAACCACCTCTTAATTGCTGTTTTTCCCAGGTCCACTATGACCCAGGGTGGTAGCATCTGTTAGGGTTTTTTGGGGGTTCACTATTTACCCATAACAAACTAAAACTGGAAAACTATGAAGATATAAAAATACATTTTTATAGTAAAATTACCAGCAATACATTTTCATCGTAAAAAATGTTACTAAACAATACTAGTATTCAATACCAATATGTTTGTATTCAATTGTGAAAGTAGAATAACATATCATATATTATTATTTCAAAGCTCCCAACAAAATTAAATTTTAGCATTAAATGATCCATGATGAATTGATATGCAGTTTGACAAACAGATGTTGCAAAGTACAAACCTGTTTATAGTTTATTTATCTCCCTACAATTAAATAACTCCAGTGTTGCCATTGTTACAATGGGGCGACCGTGTGAGAATATACACTTTTTTTAATGGTACTTTGTCTCTGAAGATCTATGTAAGAGATGGAAATGGTATGGAATCAAATCTACCATCTGAAAACAAAACTAAATTCTTCAGAACAGCAGTTAAAACAGTCCTCTTGTAAAACTCCAGTGCATGGATACTAATGAAGGCTTTGAATAATAAATTTGATGGGGCTTGTACCAAGATGACAAGAATGATGTAAAATATCAATTGGGAGCAGCATATAGCAACAAATGCTCTATGATGACTTGCCAAAGCTGATGACTAAAATTGTTGTGAGGAGAATAAGATTTGTTGAACATTGTTGGAAAAGTAAGAATAAAATCATTCACAAAGTTTTATTCTGGGAACGTGCGTAAAGGAAACCAACATGTATTTTCATTGTACAATCGTACAATCGATTGAAGATACCAGCTTATTAAAAGAACAACTGTTAACGACATCATAGGATTAAAAAAAAATTTTCTTCTTTTCATCATTTCACCCCAGGAAAGGCAATAAAACCACTAAGATGTAATAGTTAGGGTTATCAAGTGTTAGAGAATATGAGGAAAAAAAAAACACTATTAAGGAGAGAGAACAATAAAAGAATAGGAATTAAGAAGACAGAAGATAACAATTGACATTGCATTTAAATTTTTGAAGATCAGAGTTGACTGGGAAGTAAGAAGACAAAATAGAGTTCCACAGGTGAGAAGTGTGATAGAAGAAACTCTTAGTATAGAACTTATGGTTACATTGGCCCATTTCAACTGTAAAATTATGAGACCTCGCTGTCAATCTATTGTTGCATTTAAATTCATAAAGTTTAGAAACCATAGAGGAAAGTTCATCAGCACAATTAGCATGAAAATTTTTATAGAAAAGGCAGAGGGAAGCTACATTATTGTGATGGGAAAGTGACTGATGCCAGGTCATGACAAATAACATTGCAGATTCTTTTTAGAATTTTATCAATAATCTCTAAATATATAGCAGGAGCACTAGACCAGATATGGCAACAATATTCAAATCTAGGACAAATTGTAAACTTATAAATATGTAATATAGATTGTAGCAAGAAAAATTGTCTAACATGACACAGTGAATCAATTTTCCTAGCAGAAGACCTAGCAATTGATTCAGTATAATTTTTCCACTTTATGTCAGCAGAAAATATTAGCCCAAGAAGGCACAGTGAGTCGCTCTCCTGAAGGTTAGCATCAAGCATGCTGATGGAAGATAAAAAGTGTTCTCTAAAATGATTAAAAGAGATCAGTTTCATTTTGACAGCATTAAAATTAACAAGCCATTCCTTACCCCAATTAACAACAGTATGTAAATAATTTTTTTTAGACCAGCTGCTAATTTGAACTTATTAAACTGATCAGACTTACTATTAAGACAGGAGTAAATAGTTTTATGATCAGCATAGATACTGAGTTGAGAACTGATGACATCAGGAAAGTCCTTGATGAAAATTGGAAACAATGTAGGTCCAAGGATAGAACCCTAGAGAACACCTACATTTATGTAAAAAAGATCTAGAAGAGTGGCCATTCAAGAAAACTTTCATTTTGCAATTTAATAAGAAAGATTGAATCAGTTCAAAAATTCATCCAAAAATGCTGTAACCTTTCATGAAGACCTGTATGCCAAACATTGTCAAATACCTTTGAGATATACAAAGCAACAGACCAAGCTTCACCATTCTTATCTAAAGCTTGATAGACACTTTCAACAATAATTGTTAATACATTAGCAGTTGACCTAGAGAAATGAAAGTCATTATTACTTGTCTGAAAGAGTCTGCAAAGGGAGATACTTAACCAATTCAGATTTAATATTTGGAAAAAAAAACTGATCATGGATGTCCAACTGCAATTAATTCGATGATGATGATAATGTCTTTAAAGTTTATCAAGTTCTTTATTTAGTGGATAAAGTACTGAACAAGGTTTATAAAATTGTGTTGCTGTATCAACAGATGACTTTACCTTAAATTCCTTAAATAGCCATTGCTAAGCCCTGAATCAAATTCACCCAAGAACTGCTGGAGCAAATCATCCAAGTCCATGTTAAGTTACTAAATACTTTATTAGCTGAAAATGAAAATTCCTGCCAATTTCAACTAGTTTTAAATACAGTTTTCATTATAAATAACAAACCCCACTTTGGGACTGCACATGTAACAGAAAATGAAAGAGACACCTCTCTCAATGTTTCAGGAAGTTTAATGTGTAGCCAAACCCAGTGGTTTTTTTTAAAAGCCAGTGCTGAAAATTCTGCCAGCATAGTACCCATCAAAACTGACAGGACTCTTTATATATGAAGTTTCAAAAATTTTCTAAGCCTCAGTTATGAGTACAAAGTAAATTAAAGTGTAGATTACATCTACA